AATATTTAAGGGACCTGCCCAGAGTCGTACAACTGAGACCCAGGCTCAACTGATCTGACTTCCAGGCGAGTGCTGTTTGGCCAGATTGCAGGAGCTGCACGAGGGGAGGGTCACCCTCACTGCCCACCGTGACAGCGTCAAGAGTACTGACTAAAAGCACAGACTCCAGAATCAAACTGACTGGGGTTTCAGACCCTTGGGCTTCAGCTCTTTATAAGTCTTACCGTCTTAATCTGTAATATCAAGAGATACACATCCAACCTCATACAGTTGTAATAAAGATAAAAGGACTTGATGCTTAATGCAACGCCTAGAACACAGTAATAGTCATGTGTGCCCCAAATTGCTAGCTTTTATTATTACGCAGATCTAACTGAATACTTTTTGGGTCCAGAGAAGAAAATGAAGAGGTTCTAGAGGTTCTCCATAGAAACTTGAGTAACTACTAAATGTACAGAAAGGACTAATGGAAAGAGGGCTACAAAATGTAGAATAAGACCATTTCAGATTCAAAGGAACTCCATTCTTTTTGGGGTTTTTTTTCAATTGAAGTATAGTTAATTTACAATGTTGTGTTAGTTTCTGGTGTACAGCATAGTGATTGATTCAGTTCTATATATATATATATATATATGTATTATATATATTCTTTTTCATTATAGGTTATTAAAAGCTATTGAGTATAGTTCCCTGTGCTATACAACATTATCCAGTTTAGCCCCATTATTTAAAAGTCTATCAAATATTTCCTGTGCTCTTTTGGTACAGCTTTGCTCCTATATCTTAAGCTGAGGAGAGATAAGACTGGTCCCTAATTGGAAATACACTGGACTCTACTGAGTTCTCTGAAATGGAGACTTAAACCAGTTAGAAATGAGAGAGAAGAGATATTGGAATGCAAAGATGGGGTGAAAATTGGGGGAGGAGTGTGTAGTAATCTTTAGAGAATAAAATACGCATTATTTAGTAAGCCTAATACTGGAGTGTTTCCCCTTCCCGCCTCCAATCCACCCCTAAGTAGGTCCAGGATAAAGAAAAAGGTATGAAAGGATAGAAGTGAGGCTGGTGGCTCAGCAAATACTCAACAATTAGAGGGAAATTTGTGTTTATAATTTGTCATGAAGGTCATATGCCATATCATTGGCCCTCTTCTGATTTTTTTAGTAGTGTGATATCTATGTACACATTGTTGCTTCTTACTTTTTAAAAAGGCAGTGTAATTTCCCTAGGATGAAGTTATTATGATAGCATATTTAAGTGGTTCTGATTCCAGGATTCATTCAAATGAAAGTCATTTGAATGATTAAAGTCAACTACTGCCTAAAATATTATCAAACCAAAGAAACATTAAAACCCCCCTGAAACCATCTGCACTCTATGTGCTGTGTGGTTCTAAATATTCTAAAGGAGTGAGCAAGGGTAGCTTTTGCAGGTCTGTTCACGTGTCTATGATGTGTTAAGTTGAAGAGAAATGTTCGGAGTGATGCTGATAATGTAATATCTATAGGTTCAATATCGTGTTATTTATGCATGTATGTATGAAGGAAGGTCTAGAGGATTGCCTGCCAAAATGTGGGAGATGGTGGGAGGAGGACAGAAAGAACTTCCAACTGGCTTCATTCACTCTTCTACAGTGTGGACAATTTTTACTGTGATCATTATTAGTTTTATCACTTAAAATATGTCTTAAAGAAATAAAACAGTACTGTTTATTTCCACATAGCATTCGCATTCTTATGCATGGTTTGTCTCTTCAGGAAATGCTCTATCAGATGAAGGTGTCAGATGAGATGACAAACAGTCTAGACGGCTTCCAGCAGGATTAAAATCCTAAAACACGGGCAAGAAATTCTGAGTGTAAATAGGAAAGAAAATGTGGAATGGCGAATTTATTAATTCAACTTAATCTTATTTTGATCAAGTTACTGGAAAAGAAATTTTGTTATACTGTTCCCCTACTTAGACATAGAACAAGTTGTACCAGTTCAAATTATCCAATTTCTACTGTTGTAGAATTAGTTTCTGGTATTGGAAAGGTTTTAACATTTTTATCATATGACCAATACTATGTTTATTCAATTTTTTTATTGAGTTATAGTCAGTTTACAATGTTGTGTCAATTTCCAGTGTACAGCACAATTTTCAGCTATACATGAACATACATATATTCATTTTCACATTCTTTTTTGCTGTGGGCTACCACCATACTGTGTTTATTCTTAAAACCATGATGAGACTTAAAACTTACAGCATAGGCAAGCTGTCAACAATATTCTTCTTCACTGAGTCATACTCTTTTCTGTAGTAATTTTACCATTTTACGTCCCTTAGATGCGCTAAGGTTAATGAGGCATGAGTTAACTTTACTGACACTGTAGTTTAGGGACCCTTAAGCTCCATGATGCATATGATAGTATCACTGATAGTTTATCACTGAGGAAGTCAAAGTAAGAATCATAAACAAGTTAAAAATTATTAATAAATTTCCACGCTTCTATGGGGTGGAGCCAGGATTTGATCGCAGGCAGTCTAATAGAGAACCTGTGTTCTTCCCACAAAGCATGGCTGTCTTAGATACTAGAGGCACGAATGGGCAAAGCAGCACGTTTCTTAACCTGTTAGTTGAGGCATCAGTTCCTGTGCACACCAACATTCAACTTCAATGCATACATTTTGCTCATCTAGCTCTTCACACTACTTTTCTCTATGTGACATTTTTTACATAACTAAATGTTTGTTTCTTTTTAAAATAACAGTTAAAAAAAAAAGCTCACCCCTAAATGAAAGACTTTCTCTACAACATTGTTTTTTTGGGTCACAGGAGTCTTGCAAATTGCTTATCGCCGTACCTTTAAAATTGAAGTATAGCTGACGTACGATATTAGTTTCAGCTGTAGAGCATAGTGATTCAGTATTTTTATAGATGATACTCCATTTAAAGTTATTACAAAATAATGGCTGTATTTCCCTGTGCTGTACAAGTCCAGTCCTGGACTTTCATTTGCTGGGAGGTTTATTTATTATTATTATTATTATTATTATTACTATTATTATTATTATTATTATTATTATTATTACTATTACTATTATTATTATTATTATTATTATTATTAATTCAATTTTACTACTAGTGACTGGTCTGCTCAGACTGCCTGTTTCTTCCTGATTCAGCCTTGGCAGGTTGTCACAGTCACTTTGCAAAGTGCTTACCACTGTGTCTTGCTGCTCAGCCTTGTGACTTGCCTGTATCATGGAGCAGAGATCACGGTGCTAGGCTTCCAGTAGCAACGCTGATCTAAATAAATGACCTCGGCCATTCTCTAGCTTTCCCTTCTTGCTCTATTAAATGAGAGATTTGGACTAGATAATCTCTGAGGTCATTTCCATCACTCTAATTAGATACTATATGCTTCTAAGTGATGAGAGACTAAAGGCATTCCTGCACTGATGTTTTTATGTAATCAGCTGACACTACAGTTTAGGATGTCAGACTATCCTTACGGTATTGCTGATTTGATTATGGTTAGAGGCTGGTGTGTCTCCAGTGTACATAGTTACAATTGACATTGATGGGTATAAAGCAGTTCACGGGACTTATTAAATCCAGCCATAGAATTTGAATGTTCTGGGTTCACTTCAGTATTCACATAAACCATAAGTCATTCTAATTTTTAAAATCTGATCTTCCCCAGCATGAGTTAAGGCTTCTGGATTTCAAAGGCATTTGTGGATTCACAAAGTGTCCCTGAATACAATTTCAGCCTCTGTGTCACATTCTGAAAACCCAGCTCTAAATAAATCTTATTGGGTGTTTGGTTTAAAGGTGAACTCAAGCAAATCTATTATTGAAAATCTGGTCCCTGGTGCCCAGTACCAGGTTGTGATGTACCTAAGAAAAGGCCCTTTGATTGGACCACCTTCAGACCCTGTGACTTTCGCTATTGGTAAGTCGCCACCCACAAGAATAGTAGCTTAATCAGGATACTGTTTGGAGGGTGCAACGTCCAAACTCAAATCATTATCATCATATCTGGGAGGCTCCGACTTGTTCACTCAATATTCCACCTTCAGAGTAAGTAATGACTACAACTGTATACCTGGTAGACATCCTTAGCTTCCATTATTTGATAAAAAGAAAATTTCAGGCGGGTATGTTTAGTCTTCAATGATTGTATTAGAAGAATGAAAAATCTAGCTATTAAGTACAAGTGTGAAGCCATTGCAAAGACGTTAAACATTGCTTCTTGGCTTTCTTATTTTTTAATCCCCTCTCTTCTTAGTTCCAACTGGAATAAAGGATTTAATGCTCTATCCCTTGGGTCCTACGGCAGTGGTTTTGAGCTGGACCAGACCTTACTTAGGAGTGTTCAGAAAATACGTGGTTGAAATGTTTTATTTCAATCCTACTACAATGACATCAGAGTGGACGACCTACTATGAAATAGCAGCGACTGTCTCCTTAACTGCATCAGTGGTAACCTGTCCTTAACCAGCTGTCATGTTTTCCTGTGTAAACAGACTTGCCTTCATGTACCAAATGTGTCTGAAAAGTTATCTATAAATTAGACCATTTTGTAAATACACACAGGTAGCTTGCTGTTTTCAAGGTTTGGGGTTATTTTTGCTTTTAATTTTGTTTTTTTGTTTTGTTTTTTTTTTTTGAGACAGAGAGAGCAAAAATTGTGCCAGTGGCTTTCACTTTCAAATGAGTATATTTGCTAACCCACATTTTAGTGGCGCTCTCAAGTGCTTATTGTTCCTCTCTGTTCCTAAGGAGGGAAACACAAGAGATTTCCTTTAGTTGTTCAATAATTAGTTGACACTGGTTTTAACTCCAGTGATGACTGCTCTTGACATCAACAAATCAGGGAAACATCTAAGGGGGAGGGTATAGCTCAGTGGTAAAGTGCCTGCCCAGCATACACAAGGTCCTGGGTTCAATCCTCAGTGCCTCCAATAAAGTAAGTAAATAAATAAACCTAATTACCTTCCCCTTCCAAAAAACAACCTTTAAAAATCTATGATGTCAGGCCATTAGAGGATGTTCTTCCAGAGAGCAGGTGAAGGTTGCTGTTTCTAAGGCTGGAATAATTTTTAAAGTGCTGGTTACCTATAGGTCACACATGAAGTGCACAATTGTCCTCTACCCAGCTGACAACTCTGGTAACTGCCACTTCATATGGATGCCTGCTTACTGTCCAAGCTGGGAGAATATAGAGTTGTGAAAGGTCATTCATCTTAGAAACAGGAGGACGTGTACAGACAGTCACTTACAGATAAGGACTGTCTCACTCATGTGATGTAACTTAGGAAGCTGCAAAAGGAAACCAATAATGGAAGTATTTTACTCTGTATCTTTGAATCACTTTTTAAAAATTACGTTATATTTTTGTATGTCACTTTATTTACACCTCACCTCTTTCCAAAAATAATATTTTTAATGGAAAATTTGGGAAATACAAAAAGGCACAGAACCAAAACTAAAAATTACTTATTTTTCCATAGCCTAAAAGAAGTACGTAAATCATTTCCAAAAGTATGATTTTCCCCATTACTCATTTGTCTTCTTTTTTCAGAGAATAGCTAATCTGCTGCCAGCATGGTACTACAACTTCCGAGTTACCATGGTGACGTGGGGAGACCCAGAACTGAGCTGCTGTGACAGTTCCACCATAAGCTTCATAACAGGTGAGCATGTGGGGAGTGGTTCCACGAGGAGAGATCACTGTTTTGAGGAGGTTCTGAAGGGACACATCTCCAGAAAGTGCTAGCCAGTCACCCGGGACCGATGAAGTATCAGTAGCATGCAAGATGATACACTTGATTCTGAAAATTCATTATTTGTTTAAATGAGAGCCTTTAAAAATTAAAATACAATTTTTATTCTGAGTCACTGCCCTTGATTTCTTTCTGAGTCACTGCCCTTGATTCATGTGCCTCTGTTTGGAATTGATTCGAGTTGAGACGTAGCGGGCAGAGCTTTCAGCTTCACACTGCACTCAATTGATTTTACCCATTTGATAATCATATTTGCTAGAATGCCCTCATTTCCTTACTAATTAAGCCATTTTTAAAGTCACAGGCTGACTGCAGCATCATCCACTGCAGGAGGTGAAACAGGCTTGGAGATGGTGTGCCTGCATATGAGTCACGGCTCACCTGTAAACCTGAGCAAGGCAATTCTAAACCTCAGTTTTTTTCATGTGTACAATAGAGACGATTATAGTATTTATTATCTGTTATCATTACCTATTATTAATTCCCAGTTAAATAAGCTGCTTAGCAAAATGCACAGCACAAAATTTAAGCACTTAATAAACTGTTGGTGTCAGTTCCTCCGAGCCTTACACGATCTAGTTCACTAACATACGGCAGAGACAGCGGAGCTGGGCAGAGGCACCAACGGGAAGAAGAAATTCATCAAGGGAACAGCAATCCTCGTTGTTGGAACTGAGAGTTTTCAAGAACTTTTGATTGAACTGCTGTAATTAGAGTTACACTGAGAAAAGCTAAGAAAAAAAAATAGTGTTTAGATGAAGAATGATTTTCGCAAACTATTTTCCTCCCTGGACATCTAGCTTTACTCTGTTGACATTTGTCAATTAAAAAAACGACGGAGAGAAATTCATCATGCAAATTCTTATACAGCCAGCTTATATAGTTCGTCACTTTTCTTTTCTGGCCACGATCTAGAGTTGTCTTTGTTCCAGATATTAATAGTAATTTTAGAGTAGAGAAATGAAAGACGACCATAAAAGGAGAAAAGAAGAATTATTTAACAAGCCCTGTGTTAGACTTTCGATGGTTTTAATAATCACATACTTAATTATAATTGAACTTCACTGTATCAGTAAATCATATACTTAACTTTGTTAAGATTAATGCTCTGAGAATGCTCTTTCCTTCTCAGACAGAGCAGCCCAGACTTCACCTCTGAACTCTTGCTAGAGCAGACCTGGCTCTGCTAATTTCCAGGTGTAGAATTTTGAGCAAATTGTCTTTTTTGTTTGTTTGTTTTGGTTTTTTTTTTGGAGGGGGGTAGGTTTATTTATGTATTTTTAATGGAGGCACTGGGAATTGAACCCAGGACCTCGTGCATGCTAAGCATGTGCTCTACCACTGAGCTACACCCTCCCCTCTTTGAGCAAATTAATGATCCTGGACTTCTATTTTCTCACTGGTACAACTCAAAATATCGCCTAACAATGGGTTAGTAGAACAGAACTAAGTGTATTAGGACCCACTGCACTAAGTCACTGACTGCCTGGACAGTCTCGTGGTGTCTCAGAAGGGGGACATCAGAAATGAAGTATTAACAGGAGCCGGAGTTCTGGACTGAAGTGGCTTAGGTGTGCCTTTCAAAGCCGGGAACCGTCTGGGGACAGGAAAAGATCATGGGATAATAGTTTAGGTGGATAAAACAAGCTACTCGCCGTGGTGAGCAGTCTGTTGTCTCCAATAAATTGATCACTGGGAATTTTTATTTTCTCCTAGGACCAACTACTAAGGCAAGCTGACACTGGTGGTCCACAATCTTATCTAAGTATAGCGACACAGATGGTCTCCATTCTCACATCTATAAAATGGGCATAATACCTCCTAGGGTAGTGTGAGAATTAAATGATGTAATCTAAATCGCTATTAAAATATACATGGTAGCTGAGTTTTATTTTTATACCTATATTTAAAACTAGTTGAGATTTTAGCAGTTTTTTGCCTTTCTTCTCTCATTTCAATTCTAAAGCAAGTAAGATATGTTTGCAATGTCATTCAGATTGCCAAATTGTGTAATACAACAGAGCATAGGAAGAAAATATTTGAATGAGGTCTGATGTATCAGGGCCTCAAGTCCACTATCTTCATTAAGCAACGTTGTCTGCAAGTTCATAATTATGCTAGTGTACCAAATAATGTTTAATAAATAAAGAGTGACATCTGGTGGTCTATCAGCAATATGCTGGATTTTAAAGCAACATGGAATAGAAAAAGCTAAAGACCTCATCTCTGTGAGGTGCTAGGTATGTAATTCTAGGTTTGCAATTTTAAATATGTTTCCTGTCTTTAGTCGAATTAGAATATGAGACTTTGAAGAAATATAAGCATAGATACTTGCATATGATGAAGTATGTAGAGATATGTTTAAAAGCTATAAAGAAACCAGGGTTATTATCCTTTATTAGAATATTCTGCAATATGATGTGGGTTTGTGTTACTTACTATAGACATTGCTGATAGCTCAAGAATTTATTGTCGAACTTATAGAAACGTTACTCATATCTATCATGAGGCAGAAGTGTGTTGGTTACTCTGTTACAAATTGCTTCAGTGAGTAATTGCTTTTGAAAGCATCCTTAGTTATGAATGTGTGTTATAAGTAATAGTGCATGTTAAAGAAAGTAAGTCTTTCTTGATTTGTAGAAATTCTCCTCCAAATGTTGGTTGGTTGGGGGCTGCATCTTCACACCAGCATCGCATAGAATTTAAATTCAACTGTGTATTTGTTTGTTAAAATCTTCAGAATTATCAGCTACTTTAAAAAGTAATTCAAGTATGCTTTCAGGGATTATATATTGTAAGGCTTATGGTGAACTCTCCTCCCCAGTTGGAATTTTTTAAAATTTAAATGTATGAAAATATAAAAATAAATGAATAAACTCAGTGTAGCATTTTGCTTTGGAGCATGATTTTTAAAAATCCCTTCCTTCCTTCCCTTAATACTTGCTTCAGCAACTTTTATTTAGAAGGCTCTTAGCTTCCGCAAAGCACTGGGCTAGACGCTGCCGATAACGTGGTCCTGTTATCTTGTAGACATAACATTTATTTTCTGTTCCTCTCCTCATTGATCCTACTGTCCTTTATTCCCGTAAACTTCTCTGCTGCACCACAATGAAAAAGATTTATTTTTACAGGACCCTGGAGTTTTCAGTACTGCTTGGAAAATAAGTTCACCAGTGCCTAATAATATTAATTTATTGATGCGACAAGCATACCCAAGCAAGTGAACGTCTTAGGGAATCTTGTCACTGAAATTTGTATAAAACGCCCTACTGTCCTCAGATACAAATGGGTCTGGCTGTCTGGTGTCTGAGCCACACAAGGTAGGGTCCCCAGAACAGGTGCCCCCCTTGTACAACCAAACTTCACTACATTACTGACCAAGAGGAAGGTCAGTTTAAGACTAAGGTCCAAGAGTCCCAAGGACCATCATGTGGTGTGAATTTTAATTCTCCAAATTAACTCTATATGGGATTTCATGTTCTAATGGTAAGTACTTCAATTATTAGTAGTCTGTTACACTAAAGTCTGCCTCTGTCTTCCCTTGTAGCCCCAGTTGCTCCAGAAATCACTTCTGTGGAATATTTCAACAGTCTGTTATACATCAGTTGGACATATGGGGATGACACGACTGACCTCTCCCATTCTAGAATGCTCCACTGGATGGTTGTTGCAGAAGGAAAGAAGAAAATTAAAAAGAGCGTATGTTTCTTTGAATCCCAGTATTGGGCATCTGAACATTTCTTTGCATACACTATCGAAAACCATTAAGCAAACATTTACTGAGACGTTAAACAAGTATTTGTATGCCAGTGGGCACTGTTTTAGCCTCAGGAGATAGAATAGTGAACAACGATGAAATGCCGCCTTTCATAGGGCGTAACTTTTCATCTTTACTCATGAGTTGTCATTGTTGTAAGTGTTGACTTCACTTGTATTTAAAGTTATGGTTTGAGCTTTTGCTTCAGGATACCAAACATTTTCAAGAAAACTACAGTTAATATATTTCATTATCTTCTCCACATGTCCCCAACACCTAAATATTTGAGTACGTTGGAAATACTGATTTCTTTTCTCCTGCCTTATTAAGCTTTTTGACGGTGTATTAGTTAAAGGAGAGACTAAATGACTATAATAAAATTTGTTTAAAAGACTGTGGCATAAAGAATGTCAACGTTTGTGTCTCTGTCAAGGTGCCCAGGACTAGCAGGGCACCTCTGCTGTAAGGGATGATCCAGAGGTTCAATTCTTTCTATTTTGTTGCCCTGTCTGCCCTTCTGTGTAGTCCTCATCTGCACGGGTGAACCTTCCCCATTACTACATCCATATTCCAGCCTGCAGGAAGGGAAAAGACAGGATGCAGATGCCCAGCACTTACAGGGTGTGAATAGACTTTTAAGATGCCCAAGCGACTTTCTCTTACAATCCATTGGGTAGAATTGGGTCACATGGTCCCGACCAGCTATAGAAGAGACTGAGAAATGGAGTCTTTAGTTAAGAAGCCAGGTATTGGTAGACATGGCTAGATTTCTTCTGAGCTCCTCAGCTGAGGCTCAGCAATGTTTGGATCAGTGGCAACCTCGTAATTGCCTTTTCTAGAATTTGCTGTGAATAGGAGGAAAAATACTAGAGTAATACCTATTTCAAACATGGAAATTCAACACATAAATGTTCTGATATATATTATGCATGTTTAGAGCTACCTTGCATTTGGCTCAGTTGAGGCATTTATCATTTTCAGAGGAAGTAACATATCATAAGGTTTAATCAACTGTGGGTTGCAGCTCAGAACAGGGAGAGAATATTCATGATAGCCCTGTAGTTGTTTGGAATGGTATTCTGGTTCAAGGTCATTAGAAGGTGAAATCCTTGATTTGAACGATCTTGCAGGTAACACGCAATGTCATGACTGCAATTCTCAGCCTGCCTCCAGGAGATATCTACAACCTCTCCGTAACCGCTTGCACTGAAAGAGGAAGCAATACCTCCATGCTCCGCCTTGTCAAGCTAGGTAAGAAGAGGACGCAGGT